TTTTGGGCTGAGTTAGAAATAACATGTTAAGGAAGTTTCCATCTATTCTTATTTATTGAGTGTTTTTATCAAACAGTTATTGAATTGTATCAAATGTTTTTTAAGCATCTATGGAGATTGAATAGATGGTTTTTCTCCTGATATTTTCCTTTGATTTTTCCTCATATGTAACCATCCTTGCATTTGTAGTATATATTCCAAATGATCATGGTGTATTATTTTCCAAATTTTCTGCTGGATTTTATTTTTTATTGTGGCAAAATATGCATATCATAAAATTTACCACTTTAACCATTTTAGGTGTACAATTCAGTGGCACTAAGTACATTCACTTTGTTATACAAGCATCACCGTTGTTCATCTCCAGAACTTTTCCATCATCCCAAACTCAAATTCTACCCATTAAACAATGACTCCCCACCTCTCCTTCCCTCAGCCCCTGGTGACCACTATTCTACTTTCTGTCTTAATGAATTTGCCTATTTTAGGTACCTTATATATTCTATGATTAGAATCATATAATACTTGTCCTTTTATGTCTGGCTCCTTTCACTTAGTGTAATGTTTTCATGGTTCATCCATGTTGTAGCATGTATCAGATTTTTATTCCTTTTGAAGGCTGAATAATATTCAATTGTAGTATGTAAATACCACATTTTGTTTATCTCTTCGTTTATTCATGGACATTTGGGTTGTTTCCACCTTTTGGCTATTGGGAATAATGCTGCCATGAACACGAGTGTACAAATAGCAGTTCGAGTCCCTGCTTTCACTTCTTTTGAGAATATACCCAGAAGTGAAATTGTTGGATCATATGATAATTCTATTTCTAATTTTTTGACAAACCACCATATTGTCTTCCATAGTGGCTGTATCATTTTCCCTTCCCACCAGCCATGTGCAAGGGTTCCAATTTCTCCATATCCTCTCCAATACTTGTTATTTTCTTTTTCTTTCTTTTTTGTTTTTAATAGCCTTCCTAATGGGTGTGAACGGTATCTCATTGTGGTAGTGATTTGCATTTCCCTAATGGTTTGTAATGTTGAGCATCTTTTTCTGTGCTGTTGGTCATTTGTATATCTTCTTTAGAGAAATGTCTGTTAATGGTCCTTGGCTCATTTTTAAATTGGGTTTGTTTTTGAGTTTTAGGAGTCCTTTATATATTCTGGATATCAATCCCTTCAGATACATGATTTGATATCAAGTATATTCAAAGAACCAGCTGTTAACTTAGTTAATTTTCTTTACTATCTCTCTTGTATTTTGTTGATATCTGCTCTTGATTATTATTATCTTCCTATTGGTTTACTTTGCTAACTTCTTAAAGTGGAACCTTAGGTCAGTGAATTTAGATCTTTTTCTTTTCAAATATAAGCACTTAAGGCTGTAAGTTTCTCCTAGAATCACTGCTTTAGTTGCATTCCACATATTTTGATATTTTGTATTTTTACTTTTATTCAATTCAAAATATTTTCTAATTTTCCTTGTGATGTCATCTTTGACCTATATGAATTATTTAGAAGTGTGCTATTTCATTCCCAGATATTTGAGGTTTATCTGTGTATCTTCTTGTTATTGATTTCTAACTTAAATCCGTTGGGGTATAAGAATATACGCGGATAATGTCTATCGTTTTAAATGTATTGAGCCTTATTTTATGGTCCAGCATATGAATTATCTTTGTGACTATACCATGTGCTATTTTTATATATTCTTTTCAAATATATATTTTATAGTTGTTGGATGCAGTGTTCTATGACTGTTAGTTCGATCCAGTTGGTTGATAGTGTTATTCAGAACTTCTCTGTGTTTAGAGATTTTGGGTTTAAATGGTCTGTCAATTGCTGAGTAGATTTTGTTAGGTGAATTTAGAGTGGTGTTTAGTCAAAGGCTAATTATTCCCTTTTACTGATGCAAGATCTGTCTGATCTACCCAGTACCCCTGTCATGAACTGTGACAGGTCTGAGATTTTACCCTATTTGGAAGCTAACAAGTTAGCACGTTTAGACCTAAGATTTTATTAAAATAGGTTTGGATCTAAGATTTTGTTAAAATAAGGATTTTATTGCTCCCAGCATAGCAGGAAGCATGTACCTCAGGTCCCACATGGATGATGCCAAGCAGCTTCATTGCATGCTGTACATGCAGTAGATTTGATTTATAGCTGAAGAATTCCAAGCTTCGGGAACCCCAATCTTTTAAATGGGTTGCAAACAAACCTGTCCAACCTTTTGCTTTAGAGGGAGCCTTTATTAACCTGGACAGCAAACAAATCTGCCCTCTGCCTTGGAAGGAGATGCAATCTCCTTCCTCTATGCTGTACAAATATCCTTGAAAATTTATTCCAGATCAAAAACTGTCAGTGCCTCTGCTTACACAGAGACCCATGGTGAATTGTCTCCTAATTGCCCTGTGAATCATGAGATTTTCCATCTGAGTGTTGGAAACAGGCATTATTCTTGGCCGTGTGGGAGCTCCAGGCACTGATTCTTCTAGTCCTTTTGGCTGAACCCCTTTTCCTGGCCTTGGTTAATTCCCTCACACACTTGAGCAGATCAGTACTTAGGGGAGTTTCTCCGGTGTGACTACCTGCAGATCTACAGGGTTCTCTCTTTGTGTAGCTGTTTCCTCTCTGGTACTCTGTCCTGTAAACTCTGTCTTGGCCTCCTCATATTCTCAGCTTTGTCTCCTCAACCCTGGATTTCTTCCAGGCTCTGCCCAGATTCTTCTTTCCTGTGGCCTGGAAACTCTCCAGGCAGTTAGCTGGGGCAGTCAGGGCTTACCTGATTTCTTTCACTGTCCTTTCTTGCTAGATGTCCAGTGTCTTGAAAGCTGTTGTTCCTTTTATTCCATGTTGTTTGGAAGTGAAAGTCTGTGGCTGCTTTGAACATTTTCTCTTTCTCATTCATTTTCAGCAATTTGGTTATGATGTTCCTTAATGTAGTTTTCTCCTCCTCTTCTGTTTGTTGAGCTTGGATCTGTGAATTTGTAGTCTTCAGCAAATTTGAAAGTTTTCGGCCATTGCCTCCTCAAATATTTTTTCTTTCACCTTCGTTTTGGACACTTTTATTGCATTGTTCTCAAGTGCACTAATCTTTTCTTCTTCGGTGTCTGCTGTTAATCCAATCTAATGTATTTTTCATTTCTGCATTGTAGTTTTCATCTCTAAAATCTTGATTTGGTCTTTTTTATGGTTTCTATGTCTCTTCTTAACATGCTTGTTTTTTTCTTTACATTTTTTAACATATGAATATGGTTATAATAAGTGCCTTAATATCCTTTTCTACTTTTTTTCCCTAATCTTTTAAAATGGGCTGTGAGTAAACCTATCCAACTTTTTCTACTAATTGTGTCATTCCTGTGTGTTTCTATTGAGTGATTTTTCCCTGTTATATTGTGTTGCATTTTCCTGCTTCTTTATATTCCTGGTAATTTTTTATTTTTTGTAAGACATTTTAATTTTAGTTTTGTAGGTACTAGATATATTTATATTCCTGTAAATATTCTTGAGCTTTGTTCTTGGACAAAGTTAACTTGAAACTGGTTGATCCTTTTGAGACTTCCTTTAAAGTTTTGAGACTTTCTTTAAGCTTTTTTAGTTTGGACCAGAGCAGACTTTAGTCTAGAGCTATTTTCTTCCACCACTACTGAGGCAATACCCTTCCAAGTACTCTACCTGATGCCCTGTAAGTTATGAGATTTTCCATTTTGGCTGGTGGGAGCACTAAGTATTCCCAGCCCTGTGTGAGCTCTGCAAATTGTACCCTCTGATCATTTCATCTCTTTCTTTCCCTGATCTTGGGTAGTTTCATCACATGTGTGTGCTGATCACCACTCAGCTGGAGACTTGAGTAGATCTGCAGCTCTTAGGAGCTTTGTCTCTACACAGCTCTCTCCTCTCTGGTATCATGCCCTGCAAACTCTAGCTACCTTCTCTAGACTTTCCAGCTCCATCTCCTCAGCTCAGAGAAACTCTTGGACTCTGAATGGGTCACTTCCTTGCGCTCCTGCCTGGAAACTTTCTCAAGGCAGTAAGCTGGAGCAAGCATTTGTTTCTCTTTTTTTAGGGACCACTGTTCTGCACTACTTGAAATCCAACCAAGGTCTAAAACTCTTTTTTAAAAATTACATTTTGTACGTTTTAAGAAAGTAATCTGAAAGGTTAATCTGATCTCTGGTATTCCATCTTGTACAGAAGCTGAACTTGGCTTTTAATTTTATAATTATTGTAGTTGTATTTTTGCAGAACTTTGTTTATATGTTCATTTAACAATTACTTTTTTCTTTCTTTACAATTCAAGCACTATTTTATTAAATCAAGGATATGTTCTTTTTTTTTTTTTTGTGAGAAAGACTAGCCCTGAGCTAACATCTGATGCCGATCCTTCCCTTTTTTCTTGAGGAAGATTGGCCTTGAGCTAACATCCATGGCCATCTTCCTCTACTTTATATGGGACGCCGCCACGGCATGGCTTAACAAGCAGTGCATCGGTGCGCGCCCGGGATCCAAACCTGCGAACCCCGGGCTGCCGCAGCGAAGCGTGCGCACTTAACCGCTTGCCCCACTGGGCTGGCTCCAAGCATATGTTCATTTTAAAATTAGATCCCTAGAAAAATTTAAGATTAAATGTTGTGATTTAAACTTAATTCTCTTTATAGATTAGAAATTCTCTTTTCTTCTAGAAACATTTGTATTATCAAATTTTATAAAATTTATTTTATAAATTTTTAAGGATATATTTTCTTATATAAATTGTTTGGTTATTGTAAGTGAATTTGTGAGATTTGTTTCATTCTACAATTAGGAAACAGCAGTTCAAAGGCATACTCACACATTCTTATCTGTTCATTGTAGTGTAGAATTGTTTTACTGTAAGCAATAAGAATGTTGATTTCAATCCATAAATTCAGATATTCAAAGTATGATATTCAGAACAATTTAGAAGATTGTTTTAATGTCAGTGACCTTTTAATGCACTTAAAAATTTTTTTCTTACAGATCAGGGGGCTCATTTTGGATGGTTCTTCACAGTTAATCCAAGAAGGTCTTAAAAGTGGCTTTCTTCATCCACTTCCTGAAAAACAGGACAAGTGTAGTGAGCGCATTACTTTACCACTTGATACTTGCAATTTGTCAGAATTATGTGAAATGGCAAAGCATTTGCCTTCCCTGAATGAAATAGAACTTCAGACGTTGCAATTGATGGAAGATGATATGGTTACAGAGCAGGATTTATTTTCACGAGTTGTTGAAAACAACTCTAGCTTTACAAAAATGATTACTTTAATGGGACAGAAATACCTGCTGCCACCAAAAAGCAGTTTTCTTTTGTCTGACATTTCTTATATGCACCCACTTCTGAACTGTAAGTAATTTTTATGTTTATTATTAGAAAAAGATAATTTTTCTGTGGCCTCAAAAGTCAAGAGCTAATCTGAATGTTAAATGAGGGTCAACATTTATGAGGATACAGCAAACAATTTTCTCAGTGTAATTTTTCTTTTTTTTTGGTGAGGGAGATTGGCCCTGAGCTAACATCTGTGCCAGTCTTCCTCTGTTTTGTATGTGGGACACCACCACAGCATGGCTTGACAAGCAGTGTGTAGGTCCACGCCCAGCATCCAAACCTGCGAACCCTGGGCCACTGAAGTGGAATGCACGAACTTAACCACTATGCCACTGCGCTAGCCCCAGTGTAATTTTTCTTTTCTTTTTTCTTTTTTTTTTGTGAGGAAGATCAGCCCTGAGCTAACATCCAATGCCAATCCTCCTCTTTTTTTTTTTGCTGAGGAAGATTGGCCCTGAGCTAACATCTGTGCCCATCTTCCTCTACTTTATATGGCGTGCTGCCACAGCATGGCTTGACAAGTGGTGCATCGGTGTGTGCCTGGGATCTGAACCTGTGAACCCTGGGCCGCCGAAGCAAAGTGCGCGCGCTTAACCACTGTGCCGGCCCCTAATTTTTCCTTTAAATTCAATTTTAGGTACTGACTTTTGATTTAAAAATAATTTTCAAATTCTTACTATGAACAAAGGGTCAAAAACTAACTAGTCCCCAAGAGAGCAAATACAGTCACTGCTCATTTGTAGAAATTCAGGATACAATTGGGTTTGACCAAGTAACTTTATTTAACTTTTCTTTATAGCAAATTAGAAACACTTCAGATATGAATATTTATCCCCAAACCATTCCTAGTCTTTTAGGTTATACTTCAGGCTAATGTTCAATTTTGTTGTCTAAAATTTCTTGACGTATTTTTCTGTATAAAGTTAAAAATTTTAAATATTGAAGTCCACAGTCCCATAGACCTGAGTTTGAATTTAGATTCTGAAGCTTAACTAACTGTAGTCTTTGCGCTATTCACTCCACAAAACTGAGCCTCAGTTTCCTAATCTGTAGAATGAATATGATAATAATTACTTCTGAGGATCATTTTGAGGATTAAATGAGATAATCTGCGGGCCGGCCCCATGGCTTAGCGGTTAAGTGCGCGCGCTCCCCTGCTGGCGGCCCGGGTTCGGATCCCGGGCGTGCACCGATGCACCGCTTCTCCGGACATGCTGAGGCTGTGTCCCACATACAGCAACTGGAAGGATGTGCAGCTATGACATACAACTATCTACTGGGGCTTTGGGGGGAAAAAATAAATAAATAAAATCTTTAAAAAAAAAAAATGAGATAATCTGCATCAGTTGCTTATCTCAGTGATTTATGTTTTTATGGCACCTTTTTTTTTTGTTTTTTTGTGAGGAAGATTCAGTCCTGAGCTAACATCCATGCCAATCCTCCTCTTTTTGCTGAGGAAGACTGGCCCAGGGCTAACTTCTGTGCCCATCTTCCTCAACCTCATATGGGACGCCGCCACAGCATGGCCTGACAAGCAGTGCGTCGGTGTGCACCCAGGATCCGAACCTGGGCCGCCAGCAGTGGAGTGTATGCACTTAACCACTACGCCATGGGGCCGGCCTATATGTTTTTAATAAATTATAACTATTATAATATTCTAAGGGATGAGTTAGGTAAGAGGCGTATTGATCAAATTGAATTTACTCTGCTATTTATTGTTATTTGGACATTTTATAGCAAAATTTTAAGTTATTAAATAACATAGCTTATTAATGAAAAGCTTCTTTTAATTGCTATCAAGCCATCTTACACATGAGTAGTTATTCATATCACAATGTCATAAATTCTTCAAGGTAAATGACAGGATAACAAATTAATGAGAAAATTATGCTCTGAACATTTTTTCCATTCTTTTTGATCTTTGTTACTCTAATAGTTTAAAAACTGTTACTTGTTATTTTAATTTGCATTCTTTTGATTACTTATGAGATTGTACATTTACAAAAATATACCTAGGTTTATAAAAACAGGAGAAGGGACAGCTCTTCCTTACCGTAAAATTCCAATTAATAAATGAGGGTGGAATGATGGAACTAGAAAATTTCCATTTGGCCAACACCATAGTAATTGGATATCAAAAGAGTGGGTGAAAAGATGAGACACAGGGTATTTACAGTCTTTAAGTAACTCCTCATAAAGATACTTATTAATTAAAAAGGGAAAACTGGAGAAACCTGACAGACAACACTTTAACCAAGTAACTAAAGGTAGTGTTACCAATAGTGAGACATTTTGGCTTCCTGTACATGTTGCTCAGACAAGGGCACAGCACTGCTTAGGTAGTACTCTTGCCAAAAATAAATAACCTAAATTTAATCATGAGGAAATACCAAATCTAGGTTGAAGGACATTCTATAAAACTGGCCGGTAGCCTTCCAAAGTGTCTAGGTCATAAAAGACAAAGAAAGACTGAGGAACTTTCCCAGATTGGAGGAGATTTAGGAGATGTGGCAACTAAATGCAATGTGTAATTCTGGTTTGGATCCTGGACCATAAAAAAGGACACTAGTAGACAATTGAGGAAATTTTATTATAATCAATATATCAGTTATAAGACTGATTATTACAAAATAAAAAGTTAAAAACGAGTAAAGCAAAAAACAAAACAAAACAAAACAACTCTCCTAGGTTTGAAAAGGCCATATTAAGACTTATAGAGCATTTACAAGTTATTGGTGTCTAGCTAGGTAAGCTGTAGTTATTTTCAGGTAGTCTTTGTAAAATAACAATAGGTGAAATTATGTTAAAATCCCAGAGGTACTGAATTACAAGGGAAATCTCTTACTTTGTTTTAGGTAAGTTATTCTATTTGAATAAATACCACAAATCCTTTTGTTACATTCCATTATATTTGTGTTTGTAGTGAATGCACTTCAGTTTTGAAGAACATGTTTAGTGTTTAAAGTGATCACATAAAGAAGATATTTTGTGAAATTGTATCTTTGTTTTCAGGTAGGAAAACATATGATGTAATTGTGATAGATCCACCATGGCAGAACAAATCAGTTAAAAGAAGTAACAGGTAAGTGTAAATAAATTATCTGTTAAATATGCTTTCTAAAAGTTATTGTCCTTTGTTTTTTTTTTTTTT